GCAAATGTAAATCACCTCTTACTGTCCTCAGCACCCTATAAGGCTGTCTTCATACTGATGCGCAGCGTAGTGCACCTGCGGCTTTCCCCTTGGTTAGCTGAACTTTGCCATAGACTTCTATTATATCTTACGTGTGTATAAAGTTCATTTTAGAAGATGTAGCCTTTCAATCCATTATACTGATTTTTTTTTTTAACAGACAATTGATGTATGGTTTGAAGGGAAGCCGTGGAGGATCATATCTAAAAATTGGTCCTAATGTGTATGCGTGCTTCTACCTTAAACTATAGCTCTTTGAAATTCCTTTTACAAGTCTTTCATTTATGCAGCTTTTTATCATTTATTGTGCTTGGTTGGAGTACATGCCCGGTAATTAGTCGATGTATCTCTGCAGCTGCCAGTTTTAAATATTACAGATTCTTTTTGCAATATTGTAGCTGAGAAAATCTCATAGGCCCTAATTGAGTTTCATAGTTTTTATTTATTTTGTAAAACGTAGAAAAGATAAAACTGTTCCGGTCCAGTTCTTTACGCTGGAGACTAATAAGAAGTAAACAAATAAATACAAAAAGACTAATGAAGGGCAATAAGGATGAACTTGATTTAGGAGTGACCATGTTATGGGTCATGTAAAGTAGGTAAGTTGTGGATTATTAAAGTGATTGTAGTATAGTAAAAGGAAAAGTGAGCGCTCTCTAAATAGCAGCTGTAGCACTAAAAGGTAACCAATAATAAAAACCTCAATAATAGTCAAATAATAACACTGCCACCTCCCCCTCCCTCCCCCTCTCTGTCGGGGTCCCCCAAGGCTCTGTCCTCGGGCCCCTCCTCTTCTCCATCTATACCTCCCCCCTTGGCAAACTTATTCACTCCTGCGGCTTCAACTATCACCTCTATGCCGACGACACCCAAATTTATCTCTCCACCCCCCACCTCACCCCCTCACTCTCTGCCCGCATCGGCCACCTCCTAAACGACATATCAGACTGGATGTCGCTCCATTTCCTCAAACTTAACCTATCCAAAACCGAGCTCCTGGTCTTCCCCCTACCCTGTGCCCCCCCCTATCTTCTCCATCACTACTAACAACGCCACCATCTCTCCCACCCCACATGCCAAAGTCCTGGGTGTCACCCTGGACTCCCACCTCTCCTTCCTACCCCACATCCAACTGCTATCTAGATCTTGCAGGCTCCACCTCTGCAACATCTCCAAGATACGCACATTCCTCACCCCAGACACCACCAAACAACTCGTACACTCCCTCATCATCTCACGCCTGGACTACTGCAACTCCCTTCTCACTGGCCTACCCAAACGAACGCTATCCCCACTCCAGTCAATCCTAAACTCAGAGGCCAGACTCATCCACCTCACCAAGCGCTCCACATCTGCCTCCCCCTCTGCCAATCCCTTCATTGGCTCCCGATTGCCCAACGCATCAAGTTCAAGCTGCTAACCCTGACCTACAAGGCCATTCACAATGCCGCCCCGAACTACATAACTGACCTGATACCCAGATACTACCCTACCCCGTGCCCTCCGCTCCTCACAGGACCTCCTACTCTCTAGCTCTCTGGTCTCCTCCTCCCACGCCCAATTGCAGGACTTCTCCAGGACTTCCCCCATCCTCTGGAACTCCCTACCCCCAATCCATCAGACTGTCACCTACCCTCCTCACCTTCAGGCGCACCCTGAAAACCCTCCTCTTCAGGGAAGCCTACCCCAACCTCACCTAACACCCGACCTCAGCTAACAACTAACCTCCTCCACTCCTCCCACCACTCCATCCCCCACAGCCATCTCCTCCTGTGCCACCTTCCCCTCCCTCCTAGATTGTAAGCTCGAAAGAGCAGGGCCCTCGAACCCCTCGTGTAGTGTATTGTTATTGTCTTGTCTCATGTTATGTCCCCCTTGCTACTGTACAGCGCTGAGCATACCCTTTGGCCCTATATAAATACTGTATAATAATAATAATAAGAAGAAAGTGCAGCGCTTAAAATTTAATCAATATATCATGAAAAATAGTCCACATAAGATAAATAAAATTATATTAAATTAATGCCAGCTAAATGGTAGTAGTCCATAAGTGACAATCTGTGCAGGTATATGTGAATGGCAGCAATACTTCAGTGCTGGTGCTTCAAAATAGTGGAGTAAGAATACGCACTCACCAGATGCGTAATGGTAATACGCATTAAATCAATCAGTGGAGGTCCCCTTTAGGAATTGGATATGAGCCAGGCCAAGGATAATCCTCCCTCTGGAAAGTGGTGGCGCATCAGAAACTCCCGGGTAATATTTGATCCAGTCAGTCAGAGGTCCCCTTTAAGGGATGGGTGGGTGTAGAAGCCAGTGGGACAGGAACTCCCTCCTCTGGATACTGCGGTGGATCGGGTGGGCTCTATAAATCAATTGCTCCACATAGGGAGACATAAAAAGTGCCAATATTGTAGCAGGTAATTGTAAAAAGAATTTATTCCAGAATTTGCAAATCCACATAAAACCGATATAAAGTGACACAGTGTTTAAAAAACGGACTAACCATCCATAAGCAAGATGGCCGCCGGACCTTCACGAGGCTCCGGCGGCATGACGTCACGGCGTATTGGCTCCTCCTACATTGTAAACCCTGACCTTGTAAAACAACGCATTCAGTTTAACCCCTTTACTCCAACGGCACACAAATATGAGGCCTCACAGAACAGGGCTTTTTTCCGTGGGGCCGCATATTTGCATACCTGTCTTTGTTCTGGGAGTGCGCTACACAGCGTGCTCCCAGAACCAAGACCGGGGTGTCACTGAGATCCCCGAGTCCCGTTCTAACGATCGACCCCGATTCCTGGTCACATGATCGCTGTGATACCCTCTGATTGGATCAGTCACTGAAGCCCGCCCCTTTTTTCTGAATGTAGGAGAGAGATACATTGTATCTCCCTCTCTCCTTGCAGAGAGAAAAAAAAAACCTGGCACGCAATTATGCAGCTCAACGGAAAAAAGCCCAGTTCTGTGAGGTCGCATATTTGTGTGACGTCGGCATCAAGGGGTTAAACAAACCAACTATTTTCTTGGCTAATAATCACCTAATAGTAAAACAGTTCTGTAGATATTGTAGATATACAGTTGTGTTCAAAATATTAGCAGTGTATTGAAAAAAGTGAATAAAGCTCAAAATCCTTCTAATAGCTTTTATTTCCATCCACACAAATGCATTGGGAACACGACACATTCTATTCCAAATCAAAACATGAAGAAAAATACATCAAATTTGTGTTGTTCATCTAACAAAATTGAAGAAAAGTGAATATTAGACGGTTCAAAAAAATCGCAGTGTTTGTATTCTTCTTTACAAACTCAAACATTCACTATATAAACTGAGAAATGTTTGAAGATTTTGCTTTCCTTTGAATGACTTCATGAATATTTGGTTGTAGTCGCACTGTTTCTGAGAACTGCTGTACATCTGTGTTGCATGGAGTCACCCAACTTCTGGCCCCTGTGATCAGGTATTCCAGCCCAGGATGATTGGACTACATTCCACAGTTCTTCTCTATTTCTTGGTTTAGCCTCAGAAACGGCATTTTTGATGTCACCCCCACAAGTTTTCTATTGGATTAAGATCCGGGGATCGGGCTGGCCACTCCATAACGTCAATCTTGTTGGTCTGGAACCAAGATGTTGCACGTTTACTGGTGTGTTTGGGGTCGTTGTCTTGTTGGAACACCCATTTCAAGGGCATTTCCTCTTCAGCATAAGGTAGCATGACCTCTTCAAGTATTCTGATGTATTCAAACTGATCCATGATCCCTGGTATGCGATAAATAGGCCCAACACCGTAGTATGAGAAACATCCCCATATCATGATGCTTGCACCACCATGCTTCACTGTCTTCACAGTGTACTGTGGCTTGAATTCAGTGTTTGGGGGTCGTCTGACAAACTGTCTCCGGCCACTAGACCCAAAAAGAACAATCTTACTTTCATCAGTCCACAAAATGTTGCGCCATTTCTCTTTAGGCCAGTCAATGTGCTCTTTGGCAAATTGTAACCTCTTCAGCACGTCTTTTTTCCAACAGTGGGACTTTGCGGGGACTTCTTGCAGATAGCTTGGCTTCACATAGGCGTCTTCTAATTGTAACAGTCCTCACAGGGAACGTCACACACACCTTCTTTCATCTTCCTGGAGCTGATTGTTGGCTGAGTCCGCGCCATTTTGGCTTTTCTTCTATCCATTCCATTGGTATTTTTTCGCTTTCTTCCACGTCTTTCAGGTTTTGGTTGCCATTTTAAAACATTTGCGATCATTTTAGCTGAGCAGCCTATCATTTTCTGCACTTCTTTATATGTTTTCCCCTCTCCAATCAACTTTTTAATCAAGGTACGCTGTTCTTCTGAACAATGTCTTGAACAACCCATTTTCCTCAGAATTTCAGAGAGAAATGCACTGTAACCAGCATGCACAACATTTGCTGCCTTCCTTCCTTAAATAAGGGCAATAATTGCCACCTGTTTTTCAAAGAATGAATGACCTCACTAATAGAACTCCACACTGCTATTATTTTGAACATGCTCCTTTCAATTAGTGATTCAATTACACAGAATCAGCAGCATGCATGTCATGACTGTTGGGTCTGTTGGATTTCTATTACTGTACTACACTGCTAGTAAATTATTTGCCGTGTAGAAATATCATTTCTACCAAAAACAGTGATTGATCCGGTTAGTGATGTCTGACTGCTATTATTTTGAACACAACTGTATGTGAAAATATCAAAATATCTAAAAACCTTCTCACCATGTGTAAGCAGAATATGAAAACTCATAGGCTTTAATATGAACACTCCACAGGAACACTGGTATTCTGCATTCATTTTATATACTCATTTTATATACTCTTTATATCACTTTATAGTTTAAATGAATTGCTGAGTGTCAAGGAGGAGCTGACCAAAGAGAGAGACCAGCTGCTATCTGAAGTAGTAAAGCTGCGTGAGAATCTAATGCAAGCTATCAATCAGCAGCAGGATGCAGAGAAACTTAAAGAGGAGGCGGAGCAGACCATGTCTCAGGTGAGACCACACCCCTGCATAGTCATGTTCTTCTACATAGGAGACGTAATTGGCATAGGTAAGCCATGAGCATTGCAGAACCAGAACCAATGATGACTTTTTCTTCACTTCCAAATTCCAGTATCAGCAGGAAATTCAGGTGCGTCAGAATGAGGCATCTCGGGAAGCTCGTAAGAAAGAGAAGCTGGAGAAGGACCTGAAAAATGTGCAGTCCGAGCTGGACAATAAGCAGTCCGAGATCAAATCTTTACAGCAAACGTTACAGAAGAACAAGGAGGAACTTCAGAAACTGGAACAGCAGCTCAAAGAAACAAAGGTGAATGTTCCTCACTCATACATAGCGGATTATTGTCATTACTGATTTATAGAGCGCTAACATTAAACACTTGCTGACCACCTACAGTACCTGGGAAAATATTTAATTGTAATGGTTGTGTGCATTAGACATGGAAGCTGTAGGCAACAGCCATCTTGTTCAGGTCTCAGCCCTTTTTTTTTCATGAGCCCAGTGATCTTACCCCCTCCCTCCTGAAATTTATGGAATTCATAGCCTTAACTTTTAACACACTTCAAAAGAGTCTGTTATCTCAACTTAGGGACAGCAGACACTAGCACACAGGCCTTGGTCAGAGCTGTAAACAGCTAATTGGGCCCTGGCAGGATGCCTGTTAATTTCTACTGACCATAAAAAACTCCTACAGCTTATCACTTTCCGGAGAAGATTGTAAGTGACCCTTCGTAAAACTATGAAAAATCCTTCAGGCAATTAAAGCACTAGGAACACATAGCATGCTATAAAATGTTTACACTGAAAGCAGCCAGGCAATGGGCGACCTCACCGAGACCTCTGCCCAATTCACAACTTAACCAAATCTACACACACTATTCATAAAATCCAACAGGACCAAAACACATCAATATCAACTATATATTTGAATGGGGAATATCATACCGAATAAATCAAGGTCATACAATACTAAGCAAGCACATACGAAAAGGGAGAAAGCAGTCTCCTACGTCCTGAATGACAGACCCATCCGATATACTCTGTGTTTGGTATGCCTGGACATGAAATATAATGCTGAACAATAATCTACCAGTTTCCAGAATGCAGCCTATACATAGTGGAAGATATTAATATTAGTATAAAAAAATTTTGCTTGATTAATTGGACACTGATAAAACCAAGGACATTGCATATATTCATTGAAAATACTGCTACAGGGCGGCAGGGGTGAGCAAAATCACATATATATACACGCGATTTCACATTTCCAGGTAGGGGGCATGCGTGAGCTGCGAGCTACAAGCACCCTACCCGCGCCGCCAATTGTGGCTGTCAATCACTGGGTCCTGGCCAATGATTACTTGCCGTCACCCGGTGATCGCTGAGTATCTCTGACGGGGGAGATCTCTCCCCTATCAGCTCCTGCACACTGCTCTGTATGGCTCTGTGCATACAGGGAATCACACACACAGCACTCGTAGTAAAACAGCACACGGCACACAGTTAACCCTTTGGTCGCCTCAGATGTTAACCCCTTCCTGCTTAGTGCCATTAGTATAGTGTCAGCGCTTTTTATTAGCACTGATCACTGTATTGGTGTCACTGGGGATGTCAGTGGCAGTCAGTCAGTTCCCCCCAGTGTCAGAATGTCTGCTGCAGTCCAGCTTTAAGTCGCTGATCGCCGCCATTACTAGTGAAAATAAAATCCAGTATCTATAGCACCATTTTTAAACACTATAACTTTAACGTAAACCAATTAGCTCCCAGCACATATGTCCATGACTCACGGAAAGGTCCCGATCTCCCCTTGCGAATCTCGGCACTCACATGACCCTAAAACCCGCCCCGCCTCCCAGCTTAAACTCTTAATGGGCCGGAATGCATCGGAGCAAAGGGGTTAAACAGTTCATTGCTTAATTAAACTAGTGACGATCGTTCTCAGGCTGCTGGCACCTAGATTGTGGTCCCGCGTACTGGAAAATCTTTGTGCAGGGTGCAGCTGAGAGTGGTATTGTTATGTAAGTGAGAGCGCGGTGTGGGATTGGCGGGTCCTTTGTCACGAGTTGGTGAGAAGGGCAGGGCTCAGGCAATGCGCCCATCACAGTCATTAGTTAATATCGGGGTTATGGCTAAAGCTAGGTGCCATAACCCTGGTATTAAAATTTCACTCAGGTGCCACTTTCTGCTAAAAGTGATCTGAGTGACTGATTACCCGCCACTGGATCACTTTTAGAAGCTGCGAGAAGCGTCACCCCCCCCCCCCCCCCCCCCCCCTCTTTCCAGTGGTTCTCAGGCCTCCCTGGCTCCCAGAAACTCAGGAACCGATCTGGCGGCGGCTGGCCACAGAGATGAGCAGAGGAAAGATGGCCTTTGCTCATCTCTATGGCCTAGGACAGGGGTAGGCAACCTGCGGCTCTCTAGCTGTTGTGGAACTACATTTCCCATGAGGCATTGCAAAGATTACAAAACTGACAGTTACAGCTATGATTTGCAGAGGCATGATAGACCTTGTAGTCCTGCGGCTCTCAGGTTGCCTACTCCTGGCCTAGGAGGACTGGAGCAACGTCATGACGTCACTTCCGTTTCCAGCCTGATGTAAACAAGGCCAATTTTTTTTTAAAGCATTGGATCAATGCTCCTTTTGGGTAAAAAAGTTGAGAGGCTGCCTTTGGGTTTCGCTTTTCACTTGTGATGACTTTGGTGACACTGCATTCAGACCAAAGGTTGGTAGATACTGGTTTAGGCAAAATATTGAACAAAGTGAACACCAGACAGATAAAGTCAAGTAATGAAGTCAGTTTATTGATAAAATGTCTATTACCCATCCTACGCGTTTCAGGGGTTATAGGAAAGGCTCTTAATCAGAGCTTTAAACATTCAGGAGACAGGAATTTTTGGGACTATAATGTTCTTGAGAAGAGTTTTAGCTGACAGTGTGTTCACTCCAACTGCTGATTTAGTAGCTTTATCCAGCTGCTGGAGCAATCTTCATCTATGAAAGTGGGCCATTATTATGCATGAAACTCGATGGCCTGTTAAACTTTTTTCGAAAACCTGACTTTTTACTTGGACTTCACTATTGGTTGTGGTCTCACAGTTGACGTTAGATTGTAAGCTTCTCCTTCAGGGTTCTGTTCTTCTCCTGGTGGATATATATTTCTTATTTATTCATTAGGTATTTTGGTTCACATGTTTATTTTAATTTAAGTGAGTAGCGCTACATTGGTTCCACATGTTAATGATGGAGCATTGGTTACATCCCCTGACAGTGGGACATTTTCTACTCCCATTGAGCAAAGTCTGGCCTCCAAAAGTCCGTAGGACAGTAAACTGGTCCTTTGTTTGGAAAGATTGCAGACCCCTTGTTTAAGTGGTTGTAAACTTATGAAATGAAAAACGATGAGAGCATATCCCTCTATAGCATGGGTGTCAAACTGGCGGCCCTCCAGCTGTTGCCAAACTACAAGTCCCATGAAGCATTGCAAGATTGACAGTTACAAGCATGACTTCCAAAGACAGTCATAATGAGACTTGTGGTTTCACAACAGCTGGAGGGCCGCCAGTTTGACACCCCCTGCTCTATAGTGTGTGCTTACTTAAATCCAATGCAAAGCACTGAGTGTGTGTTCTGTCTCTTCTCTCTTCCATCTGCTATCTGTATTAGTCACTTGTGCCAGGTTATCCCTTCACTCAAGTCTCAGATTACACTCAGCTCCCTGCTCTATACTGTGCAGTCTGTGATATCAGATCCCCTCACCCTGCCTGCCGGAGCTGAGAAAAAGCCTTTGATCTGCGTGTTTTAATAGGATGTAGAGGAGAGACGGCTGCAGATAAACAGCTACAACTCATGTAGGAGGATTTTTTTCATCTCTGTCTATCACCTAAGTCCAGTCACTTCGCTGGGTATATGCAAGGATTTACAACCACTTGAGTTTCCTGACAGGATCACTTTAAGCCTTTTAAAACTTGGAGAGAGATGGGAAGCAGATATTTTCTGGTGATAAAATGTTACAGAACAAATGTTAGCAATTAGTGTACTAATTATTACACACACGCTCCTAAAGATCACTAATTACAACCATATCTGCAAACTGTGAAGAGCACGCCGGTCGGACGTGCTGCTCCGCTTACAGCTGGCGAGGCACTTTACTGGTTTTACGCTCGTTTTTACAGTGATTACTGTGACACGCGGGCTCCACTTTGGCGAATGTACATTAAATATTTAGCTGCCAGCTGCTCCAAATCTCAGTTTTATTTTCTGAAAGGCACAGAAGAAATTATCTTTAATCTGGCAAAGGAACTGTTCTTGGAGAGCTATTGTGTAACTAAGGGTGCTGTGTATTTTTTTTTTATATTTATGACTTTGTGGTTATGTAATTTCCCAAAATATTATTATTAAACAGTATTTATAAAGCGCCAATAGTTCGCTCAGCGCTGTACATTACAAAGGGGGACAGAACATGTGACAGAACAGTACCAATACAATGCAAAACATGAGGGAATCGAGGGCCCTGCTCTTTGGAGCTTACAATCTAGGAGGGAGGGGATGGTGGCACAGGAGGAGATAGCTGTGGGGGATGGAGTGGTAGGAAGAGTGGAGGAGGTTGGCAAGTTAGCAGGGGGTGGGGTAGGCTTCCCTGAAGAGATGGGTTTTCAGGGTGCGCCTAAAGGAGAGGAGAGTAGGTGATAATCTGATGGGTTGGGGCAGGGAGTTCCAGAGGATGGGTGACACCCTGGAGAAGTCCTGGAGGCGGGCATGGGAGGAGGAGACCAGGGAACTAGAGAGAAGGAGGTCCTGTGAGGAGCGGAGTGTGCGTGCTGGGTGGTACTTGGATATTAGGTCAGTGATGTAGTTCGGGGCAGTATGGTGGACAGCTTTGTACGTCAGTGTTAGGATTTTGAATTTGATCCGTTGCGCAATCGGAAGCCAGTGGAGGGATTGGCAGAGGGGGGGTGGCGGAGATGGAGCGAATATTGTTTCATTCAATCATATCTGACATGAGTAATTACTACATTAACATTTACCTATGACGGTAAACTCCAACTATTGTTTCTATTTAAATCAGCCAAATACAATCCAGGGGCATCAAAAACAAAAAATGACACCTTCCAGTTACCGTACTGTTTGTTTTCTTTAGAAAGCAGCCACAGACTGAATAGAAAAGCCTATCCCCTGCCAGTCTCTTTCAGAGAAGGATGCTTGTGCTGTGTGTGGAAGCAGCAGCCTCTCTGCAGAGGTCTGGCATAACCATTCTAAATCAGAATTAGAGCTCTGCAACCAGGAAAACTCATACTGGCTGCTAATTGGTGTCTTTAATTATGATGTATAGGGGGGCATGTCAGACCTTTGCACAGAGGCCGCTGCTTCCACAAAGGTTGCAGTGTTTTTTCTCTGCAGCATTCTGGAGTAATAAAGTCAGTCCCATGCCAGCTTACTGACAGACACTTGTTCTGTGTGTGGAAACAGTGGTCAGAGTCAGAGCCAGAGCACTGCAGTCAGCAAAGTTCATACTCGCTGCTAATTGGAGGCTGTAGCTCTGACTCACAGGGTGAGTATCAGACCTTTGCACAGAGACCACTGCTTCTACAGAGGTTGTAGTGGTCCTTCTCTGCAGCAATCTGGAATATTAAAGTCAGCCCCATGCTAGCCTCCAGTGGAGAAGGACCCTTGCTCTGTATATAGAAACAGTGGTCTCTCTGCATAGGTCTGGCACACCCCCTGCTGAATCAGAATTAGAGCCCTGCAACCAGGAAAACTCATACTGGCTGCTAATTGGTGGCTTTAATTCTGACATATAGTGGCATGTCAGATCTTTGCACAGACACCACTGCTTCCACAGAGGTTGCAGTGGTTCTTCTCTGTGGAATTCTGGAGTAATAAAGTCAGTCCCATGCCAGCGTGCTGGCAGACACTTGTTCTGTGTGCTGAAACAGTGGTCTATCTGCAGAGGTCTGATCTGCTCCCTGCTGAGTCAGAGCCAGAGCAGTCAGCAAAATTCATACTTGCTGCTAATTGGAAGCTGTAGCTCTGACTCACATGGAGCATGTCAGATCTTTGCACAGAGACCACTGCTTTCGCAGAGGTTGCAGTGGTCCTCCTCTGCAGCAATCTGGAATAATGAAGTCAGTCCCATTCCAGTTTCCAGCAGAGAAGGACCCTTGCTCTGTATGTAGAAACAGTGGTCTCTCTGCAGAGGTCTGATCCTCTCCCTGCTGAGTTAGAGCCAGAGCTCTGCAGCCAGCAAAGCTCATACTTGCTGCTAATTGGAGGCTGTAGCTCTGACTCCCAGGGGGTTTCAGACCTTTGCACAGAGACCACTGCTTCCGCAGAGGTTGTAGTGGTCCTTCTCTGCAGCAATCTGGAATAATAAAGTCAGTCCCATGCCAGCTTCCAGCAGAGAAGGACCCTTGCTCTGTATATAGAAACAGTGGTCTCTCTGCAGAGGTCTAACCAGCTCCTTGCTGAGTCAGAGCCAGAGCTCTGCAGTCAGCAAAGCTCATGCTCACTGAAAATTGTAAGCTCTAGCTATGCCTTTTAGGGGGCCTGTCTGACTTTTGCACAGAGACCACTGCTTCCACAGAGATTGCAGTGGTCCTTCTCTGCAGCATTCTGGAGTAATGAAATCAGTCCCATTACATCTTCCTGGAAGACCCCTTGTTCACTATGTAGAAACAGTGGTCTCTCTACAGAAGTATGACCTACTCCCTGCTGAGTCAGAGCCAGAGCTCTGCAGCCAGCAAAGCTCATACTCACTGGTAATTGGAAGCTCTAGCTCACAGGGGGCAACCTCTGCAGAGAGACCACTGCTTATACACAGACTGCAATAGTCCTTCTCTGCAGAAGATTGGGACAGGGCCTTTCTACTCAAGCTGTGGCTGCTAAAGAAAATGAACTGTAAGATTGTTTTGATTGGATTGGTTTGATGTCCCTGGAATGTACTTAGCTGATTTAAACTGAAACGTTCTAGGTGGGGGCCTAGTCTCAAAGCCCTTAGTAACCTTTATCAGAGTTGGCACAGAGGAGGGTTTGCTTTTATTCCTCGTATCAGGGAACTAGAAAAAAGAAAAAAAAACAAGCAAAGGCTTCAGACTGTCTTCGGCTACAAAACATTACTTGCATGGTGAATAAGTAAAACACCCACTCTTTAAACAACCAAACGAGAAAAAGCCACCTAATATGACACATATGGATATGTCATATTAATATCTCCGTCTCACTCATAATTAGTGTGGATTTATGAACCCAATATGTACCTAACAAAAAATAGCAGTGTGACAGATGCAGTACTGCTCAAACAAAAGTGGTTACTTGAAAACCCAAGCGGAGTAATATTATCATTCAAAAAACTTTATTCGATCACATGGATCATATAGAGCAGGCATGTCCAAAGTCCGGCCCGCGGGCCATTTACGGCCCGGGGTCGGTTTAATACGGCCCTCCAACAGCCCTCCCTGCTCTGTGTAATGTGGCCCTCCCACGGCCCTCCCTTCTATGGCAGACAGTCTTCTGCTTGAGAGCAGAGGGCAGTGCGCATTCCTGACTGCGGCGCGTTCTCCCTGGTCTGTGTAAATGCGTCTGTCGCACGGCCCTCTCTTCTGTGGCAGACAGTCTTCTGCTTGAAAGCAGTGCGCATGCGTGACTGCGCCGCGCTGGGAGCGACAGAGGGCGGTGACGTCAGGGCCGGGCTTCCAGCGTGAAGTGTGTTTCTCTTCACCTCCCGGCTGCCGAGCAGAGACTTCAGCTCCAGCTACCTTTTTCACCCTTCACATTAGTGCAGGTAAGTTTTTTTTTTTTTTTAATTTATTTTCAATACATTGTGAAAACTCAGCTGTCAGTTGATCTTAATGTTATGAAATGAAAAGTATGTCGTTTGCAATTAACTTGGCATAAAATAATTTATTTGCATTTAATTGTAATGGTTCAAAGAATGTTCGGAAAAATGTTCGGCCCTCCACCATGTTCACTTCATCCAATCTGGCCCTCTTTGAAAAAAGTTTGGACACCCCTGATATAGAGGTTAGACATAGATATGGTAAACAGGTAATAATAAAATCACTTAAAAACATTCGGCGTCTCCAAATAAAGTGGTTGTTCGGCAATTGAGGATCCACATAAGGCAATAGAGTTCCTAACTACTAGATCAAAGAATTTTCCATATTTTCCATACAAAATCAGCATAGGGAGATCATTCTTCAAGAACCATTATGGTAATAATCACAGTAAGTAGAATGACTTCCTGAAATGGAAAAACCAAAAAAGAGAGATCATAGTAGGTGGAACTAAGATAGGGTAAATATACTGGGCAAATAGGTCAGCCCAGCAGACACATAAGTAGTGTATATTTAAATCATTACCTTCTCAAAAGCTTGACCATCATTGAAGGATGAATATATGGCCTTCCTGGGTAACCACCCCAGATGAAAGTGTATCCACATTAATAGATGATTCTAAAAAGGTGTATAAATGTGAGACATCAATGACAAAAAGCATATACCTGAATAAAAATAAATCGAGGTAAAAAAACGAAATATTACCATATAGAAGATCAAGAGGACTAAATCCCACTTGAAGTACGATCAGGTCTTGATGAAAAAAGTGAATGCAGGGTTGGGAAGCCAGGTGGTAAATATATACAGTCCAGACTGATATAGCTCAGTCTAAATATACTGTGAAATATATACCCAAAGCTGGGTTTCCAGTAAAACACCCACTCTACCTACTTACTTGTTTATGAATGCCTTCCCTAGATCCTGAATGAGAGAGTCACCAAAGAACTGGAGCAATTCCAGATCAGGAACACCAAGCTCCATCAGGAGAACGAGCAGCACGGCATCACCAATGAGCTGCTCACCCAGGAGAACCAGCAGAAGCAGCTAGAATTAAAGGTAAAGAGCTCACCAATGGCCACATGTTCCTGTATTCTACTATGTAACCACCGCAGAAAATAATAAAACATTTAGGAACCTAATGGGTCAGACTGCTAAGGTCTTAGCTCTTGCAAAATTGTTATTCCAGTTTGTGGGCGTTGGTGGGTGGAATCTCCTATTCGCTTTCTATGACACTCAAAAATTCAGGCAGCAAAATCAAACGAGATCCACCTAACCCAGAAAGGGTCCTTTTAATTATTTTTGAATTTCTAATTAAAAAAAAAAAAAATCTCAGTTATTACAGTTTCTCATTTGTCAATAAGCAAACACCATGGCAAGGTGACGCTAAGGTTTGGTCCACAAAAAAAGCCGGAACAATGGTGCGAATCAGCAGGATATAGGCTTTATTGTAGTAGCTGGTAAAATACTGCCAACAAATGTCAAGGCGTTTCAGCTGGCTTATTTCCTTTTCTGACTGCTGATTTGTTTTTTATTGGAACTAAGACTCCACAAGGATTTGGTTTGTGGTTAAGGCATGATCCTATTGGCTTGAATGGGTGAGTTTGACAGGCAGGGCTGCCTGTCAACAAGCCACATTACATTTGTGTACATGTGTCCAGCCCCTTCCAGCTGTATGGTAGGTTTTGGGTGGGCGGTTGGGGCAGCCGTAAAACCACGGCTCAGCTGCCTGTTTTAACAGCCCCATGATTGCCCATGTGAAAGAGGCTTTACATTGGTCTAGCTCGGCACAATGTAGTTGTGCATAACGCACACCTGAGGGGCTGCTTGGGAAGCTGACAATTATTGTGTGCTAGTACAGTGATAGCCAAGATCTTTCAAGTCTCTCGCTGAGCTGCTGCCCCACTGCACACTAGGATCGCTCGCTATTTACAGAAAGCCTTATATTTTTTTCAGTGAATACAAGGATCTTTCTGATTGGATGAGGGGGAGATTGCGACATCACCACCTTTCCTATCCACCTTGTCCAATCAGAGGACGTCTTGTATTCATTGAAAAAAATACAAGGCATTCTAAAAAAGGCAAACGTGCTGAGTGAGCAACCTCCTGTGGTTAGTGTGCCGCTTGCCTAGAATCTGGTCCTAGAAGTTGGACCTGGGAGATTGCAGCTATCTCTTTAGTAGCAAGGACTACCAGAATGATTTCAGTGGCCCCACAAATTTAAAATATGCATGTTCACATTGTGCCAAACTGGACCAATGTAATGCAATAAAGATTATTCCTGGAGTTCAGCTTAAACTTGTGGGAAAACAAAAACTCATGATGTCTATTTCTGTGAATAAACTGAATAGGACCATATATGCAGAAGCACATAAGAAAGGGTGCATGACATCTATATATTATATATAACCAATGTATGGGGATAGCTGAGATCGCACCTACCATATGAAGAAAAGTAGGAGGACACCCCTCGGAATGAGGGAGTTCAGTTGTTTCCAGTGAAGGGTATTGATAATACTACAGCATACAAAGTCATTTTGGACATTTGTGCACCTTGTGGTAACAGTTTGGAGGAAGACCCAAACTGTTTGTTCCACCACGACTGTGCTCCTGTTCACTGTTCATGACTGTGCTCCTGTTCACTGTTCATGACTGTGCTCATCCATATAGACATGGTTTGATGAGTTTAGTGTGGAGGAGCTTGAGTGTCCTGCACAAAGCCCTGACCTCAACCCTACTGAACACCTTTGGAATGGACTGGAATGCCAAGCAAGGGACTATATTCCATCTACGGCACTCTCTGTAAATTAGATTTATTTATTACAGGTACTTATATGTCGCCGTCATTTTACGCAGCGCTTTACATACATATATTGTACATTCACATCAGTCCCTAACCCTCAAGGGGTGTACAATCTAAGGTCCCTAACTCACATTCATACATACACATACTAGGGCCAATTTAGACAGGATCCAATTCACCTACCAGCAGGTCTTTGGAGTGTGGTAGGAAACTGGAGTACCCGGAGGAAACCCAGGCAGGCACAGGGAGGACATGCAAACTCCAGCAGGTGGTGCTGTGGTTGGGATTCGAACCTACGACCCTAGTACTGCCAGGCAGAAGTGCTAACCATTTAGCCACTGTGCTGCCCAGATGTGAGCAGAGTTGAGAATAGATAACCATTAGAAGCCAGCAGGAGAACCCCATCAGGACAACTTGCTGACTCCCATAGGCATTTTCGCATTCTTTACTGCAGCTCTGAGACCTTTTCTAGAAGGTGTCTGGTAAGCGCAGCTGGGTGCACCATCATGTTGGTGGGTTTTAAAATGTGTGAACTCTGCTGATAACAATTTTTATGTCTCATCATGATCTTTCTGATCAGTCTAGAGAAGATGAAGTCAGCCAGATGAGGCAGGAGATCTCCAAACTTTCCAGAGCCAGAGAGTCCATACAAAGGAAGTACAGACAGATGGAGGAACAGAAGATCGAGGTGGAGCAACAGAGGGAGACCCTGAAAAATCAAATTACTGGACTTGAAAGAGGTATAGTTATTCCATTTCTACATTCTCCTTGATGGATTGAGCAGGTAGATGGTAGTATGTAGCTGACTATGACAGATGCATGCAGGACACTTCCAAAGCTTTTCCTTTATTAAACTTTCTTTTTTAAAGTGGAACTTCACTCTTTCAATCACCGCTGACTATTTTGAATTCTTATGCTGCTAGCATTAGTAAATATTATTATTATACAGGATTTATACAGCGCCAACAGTTTGCTCAGCGCTTTACAATATAACGGGAGACAATACAGCAACAATACAGTTCAATACAAGAGGGATAGGAGGGCCTGATCCTTGGAGCTTACAATCTAGGAGGGAGGGGCTAGTGGTACAAAAAGTAGTAACTGTGGGGGATGGACTGGTTGGAAGAGTAGAAGATTCCAGTATTATCTGAGGGCAGGATAGGCTTCCCTGAAGAGATAGGTTTTCAGAGTGCGCCTAAAAGTGAGCAGAAATAGATAGGAGAGTACAATATATTATATTTACTTGTGTTAAACTGTTTTCTACATTTCTTTAGTTACTTCCTAGTTTCCATGCCTAGACAAATTGTCATACATCCCAGGAGTCTTCAGGAGGGGAGGAGGGGCTTTCTCAGCTAAGCACACCTGCCTGTCAGCATGCCTGAGCTAAGGGCAGATGGATTCTAGGAAGTAAATGCTACATGAATCATTTGCCCTTACTCAGATGGCCATGGCCAGGAATGCTAGGGGCTGTTTTTCTAAGTGATTTCTCAGCAAAATAATGGATTGAGACGTGGATGGATGGGGGAGTTTGCTTAGAATTTTAAAAATGAATTTGGTTTGTGGTGCTCAGATACAGTGTAGATCCACTTTAACCTCCTTAGCGGTGTTCCCGAGTGTAGCTCGGGGTAAAATTTGAGTACCAAGTGCGGTAACCCCGAGCTACAATCGGACTTACCATGCGGCGTTGCTCAGGGAGTCCCTGCACCACTTACCTTGTCCTTCGTCCTTCATCTCCTCCGGCCGATGCCGGCATCCGGCTTCTGTGTTCCAGTCCCTGTAACGTTGGGACGTACGGGCGCGGGAACCGGCGGCAAATTTGAAATTTTTGCTGTCATTGCTGTTTCAATGCATTTCACATACATTTTGTCCCGAGTGCTTTGTCCTGCGCCCTGCCTGCATTTTGACTGTTTTTTCTGCCTGGAAACTTAGAAATGTCCATGGCGTCCAAAAAGCGTCCCTTTACGTCAAAAGCGGTTTTAGACCGGCTAGAGAACAGCGATAGTAAATTAGAACCACTTGCAGAATTGAGTGATAATGATTCGTGGGGAAATTCGTCATCAGACACTGAAAACGATTTTGCGACTTTGCTCAGCGATGTGCAAATTTGCCTCTGTATTTCAAAATTTCAGTGTTTTTGGTTTGATTATATTATTGAATTAAATTTATTATTATTATATTATTATTTTTTATGATTATTTATTAAATTATAATTTAGGATTTTGTGTTTCAAATTTTATCATCCCCGGGATGTTTACTAGACTCTTGTTCATACAGATTTCAGTGAGTTATTCCTCAAAATTACAGCCTACAATAAAAAACTACATATTTCCATGCAAAAAAATGGTACCGCTTTCAGCACAAAAAATCGGAAATAATCATACCGCCGAGGAGGTTAAAGCGGTTGTAAAGGGTGAAGTTTTTTCACCTTAATGCACTCTCTGCATGAAGTTAAAAAACCTTCTGAGTGCAGCTTCCCCTATTTCCCCCCCCCCAATACTTGCTTGAGCCTTGTCTTGTTCCAGAGATCCAGAGATCTGTGCCGAGAACAGTGCTGCGCTCTCTCTCCCTCCTCACTGGACTCAATGACAGCAATGGAAGCCATTTGCTCCTGCTGCTAGCAATTAAATCCAGTGATTAGGGAGTGCGGGGCAGGGCTGAGCTGCAATTTCTTTGTCTATAGACACACACAGTACAGCTCAAGATTGAGCACACTTGTGGGTCACCGTAAGAAACGGCTTCCTATGGTGGGACACAGAGAAGGGGAGGAGCCAGAAGCACCAGCGGGGGACCTGGTGCTTACCTGCACAGAGCAGATAAGTATGACATGTTTGCTTTTTAAAAATTAACTTACAATCACTTCAAAGTTTCTTCATTAAGGTTTAATAAAGTTTTTTTTTTTTAATATTGGAAAAAGCGGGGAAAGATTAGATCCCTATCAGGTTTTTAGGGTACACGCTTTTTTAAAGCACTCTTGAGTGCCAAAGCACCTGTCACTAATTGAAATGGTAAACTTACAGTCCTGTTCACACTGTTGTGTTGCTTTGCTTCAAAAATTATAACCCATGTTGCTTTCTTGGTGCTTCAGAGCGTCTCCAAAGCCTCCATAGAAATCTAGTCTCAAGGCCAGGCAAGTGGGTAGCTATCTTACCCCGGGAGGACACATCCCCTCTACATGATCTCACAGGGAAACATGCACAGCTGAAACTGTCTGTCAGGGATCCCCGCGGCGCTGTTCCCGGCGCAGGAGCGGTGCGCCACCTTGTGCAGGGACGCGGGCAGTAGGTCCTGGCCGGCCGCAGCGTCCGGGTTCGCGCATGCGCACTAGGAGCCGCGGGCGCGTGCCTGGCACCAATGACGGCGCAGGTCCGCGATATTTAAACGGCCCTGAGCTGTCATTCAGTGCCTTCTGGTCTTACCTGCATTCCTGATCCTGTGAAACTGTATCCTGTAAGTTGCTGACCCGGATTGTACCTGACCACGCTGTATTCTCCTGCTCTGACCCTTGGCTTGCCTGATCTCTCTCCCGGATGCCCCCTATTGGATCTGACTTTCTGTTACTGACCTGGCGTGTGACTCAACTATTCTCTGCCCGCTGCTTTGTACCGCACCGTCCCCACGGCTTCCGACCCAGCTTGTCTGACCTTGCACCTGCTCAGCCATCCATCCATCCCATCGGGATCACCCGACCTCCTCATATCAGGCACTCCCCTGCGGGAGCCCCTGGCGAATACCCTTACCACTGACGGGCGTGCTCAGTAGTCACGACCTGGTCTCAGGGTACTCCAAGTCCACCCCCACCATCAGGGGCCCTGGTGAACAAGTGCCCTGGGGCTTAGATTCCGTGCTCTGGGAACGCCTGATCAGTGGAGCGCTAGTGGTACCACCGGGCGGTCCCTTACAGTGTCAGTCGCCTGCTGTATGCTGGAGTGGGGGATGAGGTTGTCTCCCAGGATTGTCTGGTGTCCACATAAACTGTCTAAAGTGACTCATGATTTGAGAGACTTCATGGAATTGAGAGAGCCGGCAGAAATTACACTTTGTGCTTTAAGTACACACTATAGAAGGATATGCTTTTGTTCATTTTTCATCTCAGAGTTTTACAACCACTTAAATGAAAGAAACCATTTTGGATTTCTTATCACTTTCTGTACAGAGACAAGGGTGATCAGGACTAACAGTTTTGGGTGTATCTACCCCGTTGGGACATAGAGAGCAATAAAAAGCAGACAGAGGTTTTAACCCTTCCATGTTCTATCTGAAACTAGAAAAATATGTTTTGGCTTTATACACACTTGAACCTTCTATCAATAAGTAACACAATGGCCTCCTGCACATCAGCTTTGTGGGCTGTACAAAGTAAAATTTGGGCATATTCCCCAACCCGGGAGTCACCTGTAGAAATAAATGGCTGTTCCTGGGTATATACTAGGACTTGCACAAATGCATGTATGCATGCAGGCGTATGCTTCTGGAGCCAGGGTGGAAATGCGCCCACATTTTATGCTGTATGCGCCCAGGTGTCCATGTGCATGAGTCCTATGAGATGGTGCTGATCTTATGTTTCTATATATATATATATATTGGACAAACTGGACACAGTGGTGTCATTGGTGTGGTTGTATTGACGGAGGGAGTGTGAGGGTTGATAATGAATTTGAAACTTGTGTTGTCAGTTCTCCTCTCTTAGCTGTATAATATGTCTTCATTTCTCCAGAGATGGAGTCTGCAAAAAAACAAGCTGAGCTAGATAAGAAGGCAGTGGACGAGCTGGTGAGAGAGAGGGACATGCTGAATAAGGTGAGCAACTGGTTACCATGGAAACACCAAGCCCAACCAACCTTCTCCAAGAATCATCATATTTGGAAAGATTGTTATTTTGACATTTTTATTTCCTTCCTGTTAGTCTTGTCTTTAGAATTCCTCCAGGCGGATTCTGGGACAGTTATTATAGTAAGAAAAAAAATCTTTTCTGTGTTAAAACACTGTATGTATGGTGATCCTAGTGCAGGACCAAGGAGTGGGAATAAGAGGCAGCCACCATGGTAGCTTCAGCAAGAGGGGGCCAGGTATGCTATATGCATGGTTACATTGGTCCAAGCTGGACTATACTTGGACCATACCATATCCATACCTGGAATTCTTCTTTAATGTGGAACTTTAGGGAAAAAAATAACGTGCAGCTCACTATACAAATTAGGCAACGCAAAATCTAAATAAACTACCGAGCATGCACTGGAGTGAAGTTTTCCCCGCCTGGCAAAAGACAGCGGCTGGCGATTGAAACTTGGAAGCTGGCCTCCTGAAGATGTCAGCAGCTGTTGGGGAGCTCCAGGACACCACATTGCTGGAGCCAAAGTAAGTAAATCAGGTGAGCAAAAATGGTTCCCAGATCATCAGATTATCAACTTCAGCAAGTGGGGACCAGGTATGACTTTAAGCATGATTACATTGATTCAAGCTGGACTATACTTGGACCATACCATATCCAAACCTAAAATTCTTTTGTTAAATCAGCTGAGCAAAAAGGGTTCCCAGATCATCAGATTATCAACTAAAGGAAGTAAGGTAGATTGATACATTTTATCTATGCTTGGAGGAAAACTGAAGCCTTGAGTAGGTAGGCTATGTAGATTGTACGTATGGTGATCCCAGGACCGGGCCATGGAGTAGCAGAAAAGACGGCCACTATGGGAGCTTCAGCAAGTGGGGACCAGGTATGTCTTTACGCATGATTACATTGATCCAAGCTGGACTATACTTGGACCATACCATATCCAAACCTAAAATTCTTTTGTTAAATCAGGTGAGCAAAAAGGGTTACCAGATCATCAGGTTATCCATTAAAGGGAGTAAGGTAGATTGATACATTTTATCTATGCCTGGAGGAAAACTGAAGCCTTGAGTAGGTAGGCTAAAAACATTGTACGTATAGTGATTCCGGGGCCGGGCCGAGGAGTAGACAAAAAGGCAGCCACCGTGGGAGTTTCAGCAAGTGGGGGACAGGTATGCCTTTATGCATGAATTCATTGGTCCAAGCTGGACCATACTTGGACCATACCATATCCGTACCTGGAATTCTTCTTTAAATCAGATGAGCAAAGAGGGTTATCAACTGAAGGGAGTAGGATGGTTTGATATATTTTTGTCTATGCCTGGAGGAAAACTGAAGCCTTGAGTAGGTAGGTTATATACTGAAGGTTTAAAGAGACCTTTGTTTAAGATTATTTATACCTTCAATCCACTTATACTCATCTTCCCCACCACTCCTTCATCTGCTGCTGTCATGGCAAATGGTGTCAGAGCTTACACGGGGTGATAATGTCACACTCTCTGTAATGTGACAGTGTTCTAGCCTGGCAATTGGCCGCTAAGCCGAAGCACTGCATCATGGGAAGGAGGTCCCCTGTGCACCCATATCCGTGAGAATCGGCTATTTTGCATCAGTTGGGAAGATTAGTGTAATTGGGCTTTAGAGACCCTGAATGGGCAAAGTGACTGTTTCTTCACCTTTTCATTTTGGCTGGAATGTATCGAACTGTCATGAGTGGTTTTTGCTCTTCCCTCTCTGCACATACAAGAACGGAGGTGAACCAAGCATTCTTTGATAAGAGTTAACATTTATTTTGGGATGTCCACCTACAAGACCTAAAAGCAGTAAACTGTCCACATGTGACCATTTTCTAAATCTCTAAAATGCAGAATACTGATCATTAATTTCTTGTATGTAGAATCTTCTGAAAGCATCTGGTGCCACTCAGAAGCAGCTCAACTTAGTGAAACTCCATGAGCAATCCAAAAAAAACCTGGAGGAAGAAATCACTAATTATAAAGAAGAGGCCCAAAAACAGCGGAAGCTCATCTATCAGCTGGAGAAGGAGAGGGACCGCTACATCAATGAAGCCAGCGAGTTGACACAGAAGGTGAGGCCTAGGCTTCCTGTAGATCCAACACATCGATTGGCCAATTCCTTTCTTGTACAGCCATTTGATATAAAACCATTCATTTTTAAGTGCTGAACTTAAAGTGATACTAAACACACACTGTTTAATTTACAATGCCCCTTCTCTATCTGTATGTAGATGATGGCATGGTAATTATTTTAATATAAAAAAAATGTAATCAGTTTTTTCCCTAATTGATATACAGATGTCACATGACCCAGCTCTCTCCCAACCTTCCTGCAGGGAAACAGTGGCAGGAGGAGCTTCTAGTCCTCTGCTGTTGGTCACATTTAAAAAAAAACAAAACAGCCTTTGGATACAGAGTAAAAATAAATAATATCAACAAACTGTTTTAAATTGTAATACAAATACTGTATTTGAAATTAAATCTTTATTATTTTTTGGCAATAACATGGTGTGGGGGGATTTCTGCCAGTCGTAGGCTGTGTCATGCCTCTCCAGCCTTTGTCTTAGAATAACAGGGAGGTGACGCCTACATCAATCAAGATGTAATATCCCACTCCATTTTCTTTTGCTGGTTAGTGGGCATGGAGGAGGAGGAAGGGACTGGGATGTCATTTATCACGGTGTATACGCCCACATGTGTGATTCTATAGTCACATGGGCTGCTCAGTTGTGATGGGGAGGAAAAGCTCAGGATAAAAGTACACTGAAAACTGAGCATGTGCAGTAGCTGTCAACACTACTGCAGAATCCCCAACTGCAGTGGGGACATGGACAGGAGAGGGAGATAGAGAACAGCAGGATCAGCCAGGTTTTTTGCAGAATACAGAAAATTAATCTCATAGTGACTGAGTGAGTATGAACAGCATGTAATACAGAATCTATTGATAGTTTTTATTGATGTGGCTTTCATGACACTTTAAGCTAAATTCGAGCCTTAACTTTTTCTCAAACGTATCCTCTTCTGTGCTGAAATGCAATTTTCTCAATTCCCTGAAAACTTGCACCTTCAAAATATAGCTTTTTGCAGTTGTAATAGCTCTCTTGAACCCATCTTTATTTCCTATCTGAACAACTTCAATCATCAATCCCCTCTCCTCCTTATTTTTACTGCCGTTGGACACCTCTCACAGCTATTATCTTTCTCTGCCAGCAATCACTTTTGCTGTTGTCATGTATGGGTATGATCTTTAGGGGTGGCAGCATTCACTACACTGTTGTTCCTGAGCTTTGTATGAAAGAACACATCCTAGGCATCCCTTTAGATATGCATACTCCTCCCTGCTGGCCACAGGGTGCTGCAGACTTTACTTGTGCGATCTGTTGATCAGTTGCTTAATTTGTAATAACTGCCCACTACTCTACCATTTATGAACATACAATGATAGTAAAGTGTTAAAACAACTTAGACCTCACTTTTTAAAGGTTATTTGTTTTTCTCTGGATCAGCCAGTGTTTCTGAAAATGCAGTTTTTTTCTTTATAGACATTTTACATCCTAACTCTCGTCTATGTATTCTACCATGTAACAGTGTGCCTGTAAAACAAAATTATTTTCTTTAACCTATTCTGTTGTCTTCCTCTCTCCTCGCAGGTTCTCCAGCACATGGAGGATATTAAAGTTCGGGAAATGCAGATCTTTGACTATAAAAAGAAGATAGCAGAGGCAGAAACTAAGTTGAAACAACAGCAGAACTTGTATGAAGCTGTGAGATCAGACCGCAATCTGTACAGCAAAAATCTCATTGAAGCTCAGGTATGAACCAAACTGTAGCAAATAACCAAATCCTGAGGGCTGTGGAGAGAGAAAAGGATGTAGGACTGGGCCCAAAGAAAGACTGGCAAACTTGACCATATCACCCATAATATCCAAAGCAGTGAGCAGAACAAAATTGAGGAAGTTTGGTCCACATCTGATAATGTGGGAATCAGGATGGATTGGAAAAGAAGGATTATAGGACCTAACGAGTAGCACGATATAGTATGATGGTCAGATAGTGGGGCTGACATATACAGCAGGTACAATAAGTATTGAACACGTCACCATTTTTCTCAGTAAATATAATTCTAAAGGTGCTATTGACATGAAATGTTCACCACATGTTGGAAACAACCAATGCAATCCATACTTACAAAGAAACCAAAACATATAAGCTCAGAAAGTAAGTTATATGTAATACAATGTTATGACACAGGGAAAAAGTATTGAACACATGAAGAAAGGGACACGCAAAAAGGCATGGAAAGCCAAGACGCCATCTGAAATCTATCAGTAATTAGAAAGCAATCCTGCCCCTTGTCAGTGCAAAATAATATCAGCTGGTTCAGTCTCAACTGATGGCGTATAAAAAGGTGTCTCATTACCAAGGTGTCACATCTCGTGATGGGTAAAAGCAAAGTGCTCTCTCAAGACCTTCACAACCTTATTGTTTGAAAACATACTGAAGGCATTGGTTACAAAAGGATTTCTAAGCTTCTGAATGTTCCAGTGAGCACTGTTGGGGCCATAATCTGGAAGCGGATGAACATCATTTCACCATAAACCGGCTATGACCAGGTGCTCCTCACAAGATTTCTGACAGAAGAGTGAAAAGAGTTATCAGAAGTGTTGTCCAAGAGCCAAGAACCACTTGTGGAGAGCTTCACAAAGACCTGGAATTAGCAGGTACAATTGTTTCAAAGAAAACAATAAGTAATGTACTCAGTCGCCATGGCCTGTATGCACGCTCACCATGCAAGACTCCATTGCTGAAGAAAAAGCATGTTAAAGCTCATTTAAAGGTTGCTGCACAACATTTAAACAAGCCTGTGAAATATTGGGAGAATAGTCTGGTCAGATGAGACCAAAATTGAACTCTTTGGATGCCATAATACAGACCATGTTTGGAGGTAAAATTGTACTGCACATCACCCCAAAAACACCATCCCAACAGTGAAGCATGGAGGTGGGAACATCATGGTGTGGGGCTGTTTTTAGATACGGTACTGGCAAACTTCATGTCTTTGAAGGAAGGATGAATGGAAAAATGTACCACAACATTCTTGATAAAAATCTGTTGCCATCTACCAGGATGATGAAGATGAAACAAGGGCGGACATTTCAGCAAGACAATGATCCAAAACACAAAGCCAAGAAAACTCACAATTGGTTTCAAAGAAAATAAAGCTGCTAGAATGGCCCAGCCAATCACGTGACTTGAATTCAATAGAACATCTATGGAAAGAACTAAAGATCAGAGTTCATAGAAGAGGCCCAAAGAACCTTCAAGATTTGAAGACTGTTTCTGTGGAAGAATGGACCAAAATCCCACCCGAGCAACACATGCGACTAGTTTCTCCATACAGGAGGCGTCTTGAAGCTGTCATTACCAAGAAAGGGTTTTGTATGAAGTATTAAATAAATTTCAGTTACCGTGTTCAATACTTTTTCCCTGTGTCAGCCCGTTTTATTACACATAACTTCATTTCTGAACTTGTTTGTTTTTGTTTCTTTGTATATATGGATTGCACGGGTTGCTACTGACGTGGTGAAAATTTCATGTGAACAGCGCCTTTAGAAATATATTTACTGAGAAAAATGGTGACTTGTTCAATACGTATGTTACCCGCTGTACATAGACATGCACGATGGAGCTGTTAACATTTTTCTAGGGGGAGTTGGTTGCTATGGGTAATTTAGACACATAGGGAGAGATTTACTAATATTGGAGAGTGCAAAATCTGGTGCAGCTGTGCATGGCAGCCAATCAGCTTCTAGCTACAGCTTGTTCACTTAAGCTTTAACAATAAAACCTGGAAGCTGATTGGTTTCTATGAAGAGCTGCACCAGATTTTTAAATTTTAGTAAATCTCCCCCTTTATATTTTCTGCAGTATTTATATATAAGGCCTCTGAAATGAGATTGCTTTAACCCCTTAATGACTATGGGCAGTAGATATACATTTTAACCCCCCCGGAGGTATTCCCGTGTGTAGCTTGGGGTAAAGTTTCAGCACCACAAGCGGTAACCTACCGCTACAATCGGGAATACCATGCGGCACTGCTCCGGGATCCCTTCTGCACTTACCTTGTCCTGCAGGATGTCCCTCCTCCAGTGTCCCTGGAAATGTCCTCTGGCCGATGCCGGCATCTGTGTTCCGGGTTCCGTTCCCTGCGACGTCAGGACATACCGGGATGGAACTGGCGGGAAATTTAAAAATGTCAAAAAGTGACATTCACTGAATACACTAAAATCACATAGTATAACATTCCTGTATCAAACCATTTCACATACATTTTGTCCCGAGTGCTTTGTCCGGCGCCCTGCCTGCATTTTTACTGTTCTTTCTGCCTGGAAACTGAGAAACGTCCATGGCATCCAAAAAGCGTCCCTTTAGGTCAAAATCACTTTTAGACCGGCTAGAGAACAGCGATAGTAAATCAGAACCACTTGCAGAATTGAGTGATAATTATTCGTGGGGGAAATTCCTCATCAGACACTGAAAACGATTTTGCGACTTTGCTCAGTGATGTGCGAACTTGGCGTCTATTTCAGATTTCAGAGTTTTTGGTTTGATTATATTATTGAATAAAATTTATTATTATATTATTATTTTTTATGAATTTTTATTAAATTATAATTTATGATTTCGTGTTTCAAATTTTAACATACCCGGGATGTTTACTAGACTCTTGTTAGGACAGATTTCAGTGAGGTATTGCTACAAATTACAATAAAAAAGCTACATATTTCCATGCAAAAAAATGTACCGCTTTGTGCACAGAAATACTGACATAATCAGACCGCTAGGGAGGTTAATTTGCACAGTATAGTCTATAAGATCTTGATCTGAATACCACTGGTTGTGTTAAGGGTAGCATTCTGGTGAGTGCATAGTGGCGGTGGAGTGTTCACTGGATCCCTTGGCACTGTTTTGGAGTTGGACACGTTGCTGTTTTGTGTCTTGCAGTACCACTGACACATATATGGATTATATTTTGTCGCATTTTTATTGTGATTTACACTAGCACCTATATTTTACACTGTACGGGCTTTATTCATTTATTGTTTCACCGATGTTTATGCTTTGTTTGCACTTACGTGTAAACTCTTGGAGTTTTTTATTATGTGATTTAGCGCTACGCATTCTACACATGTGATGCTGTGGGATTTATTGTCATTGTCTCTTGTGCTAGCTGCATTTTGCTATACACAGCGCTCGCCATTTATTATCTTGAAATCACTGCGACTAGTTTCTCCATACAGGAGGCGTCTTGAAGCTGTCATTACCAAGAAAGGGTTTTGTACGAAGTATTAAATAAATTTCAGTTAGCGTATTCAATACTTTTTCCCTGTGTCATCCCATTTTATTACACATAACTTCATTTCTGAACTTATTACTATTACTGGTATATCCGTTTTTGGTAGATGCTAGAGAGCTAAACCATCTGAACAGCCTCTTCTATCTCTCAGGGACTCTGCCAGTTCCTAGTTCTGAATACCTACTGCTCTCATTTTAAAAGGTTCCCACCATCCTTGCTGGATTTTCTTTATTATCTTTATAGAGAATGTAGCAGCTGGCGCACACAAAGGAGGGCAGGAACAGCCACACCTCTCAGGTGGACAGGATCAGAGCTGGGAATTCTGGCAGGGTTATCTCACAGTATAGCTTAAAGCGGAACTTTAACCAAAAGAGGAAGTTCCGCTTGTCTGCATCAGCCCCGCCCCCTTCCACTGCTACATTTGACACTTTTTTGGGGAAGTAGGTACCTGGTTTTGACAAGTACCTTCTCCCACTTCCGGTCAGATGCGCCACGGCACTTTGAGCTGGACTTTTGGCTCCCTCCTTGCCCCGCAGCCTTCCTGGACACTTCACAGGTCCCAGAAGACTGTGACCCATTCAAGACTTCACTGTCAGTTTTCCTTACTCAAGATGCTGACCCCTGCACCTGAAGCCGATTGAAAAGTTGGCTCTGGTGAGGACATCACTGGATCCCTGGACAGGTTTGTGTCCTTTTATTAACCTTCTTAGGGGTGTTCCCGAGTATAGCTCGGGGTAGAATTTCTATACCAAAAGCGGTAACCCCGAGCTACACTCGGGCTTACCATGCGGCGTTCTCTGGGGGTCCCTGCAGCACTTACCTTGTCCTTCGCTCCCGCGATCTGTCCCCTGCAGCGTCCCCGGCCATCTCCTCCGGCCGATGCCGGCATCCGGCTTCTGTGTTCCGGTCCCTGTGACGTCGAGACGTACGGGCGCCAAAACCGGCGGGAAATTTGAATTTTTTTAAAAATGTCATTTTTGCTGTCATTGCTATTTCAATGCAGTTCACATACATTTTGTCCCGAGTGCTTTGTCCGGCGCCCTGCCTGCATTTTGAATGTTCTTTCTGCCTGGAAACTTAGAAAAGTCCATGGCGTCCAAAAAGCGTCCCTTTACGTCAAAAGCGGTTTTAGAACAGCGATAGTAAATCAGAACCACTTGCAGAATTGAGTGATAATGATTTGTGGGGAAATTCGTCATCAGACACTGAAAACGATTCTGCGACTTTGCTCAGCGATGTGCGAATTTGCCTCTGTATTTCAAATTTCAGTGTTTTTGGTTTGATTATATTATTGAATTAAATTTATTATTATTATATTATTATTTTTTATGATTATTTATTAAATTATAATTTATGATTTCGTGTTTCAAAATTTATCATATCCGGAATGTTTACTAGACTCTTGTTCGGACAGATTTCAGTGAGTTATTCCTAAAAATTACAGCCTACAATAAA